CGGATTAGCCAGTTGACCCCTTGCTCTAGCCCTTAATTCTATGACTCAAACTAAACAAATCCACCACCACAATACTGACCTCAATAAGTAGAAAAAAATGAGAGAAAAATAAAAGTAAAAGTCTTACCATGTAACTAGTGAATAAATATTTAACAGAAGCAGAACACACAAAAAAAATCATTAAATGGTTAGGTCAAGAACTTTCAGGTTGTAATGATGTACCAATTACATAGCCCCCAAAATGTTAAGGCATTCAAAAGCAAAAGAAAACTAAACAACACCACCACCAATAACAAAACCACCAGGGATAAAAAGTCAGTAGTTATAGGCAAGCATTGTGGTACAGTGGGCAAAGTTGCAGTCTGTGATACTGGCATCTCATAGGAGCATCAGTAAAAGTCTCAGCTGCTCTACTTCCACCCCAGCTCTCAGCTAATAGCTTGGGAAAATTACTCACGGGGTGGCTCCAGTGCTTGGGTCCCGGTCATCACTGTGTGGGATCTGGATGTAGCTCCTGGTTCAGCCCTGTCATTTCCATTAGGGAATGAACCAGCACATGGAAAATATTTCTCTCTTTCTCTCATTCAAATCAATTGAACAAACAAGCAGTTAATCTAGACTTAGGAGTAACCTGAGGAATTACTGACATTGGAGTGGTGATATCAATATTCTGAACAATATTAGTGTTTGAACTAGACCCATATACATAAAATAGAACTTTTAAGCTAATACAGTAAGTTCTGAATAGAATAAAAGTAGGTTGGTCTGGAATGTACTCTGGGTTCCATTTAAGAAGAAAAGAAAGATCTGTGAATAGATGGATGAACTAAGAAAGAAACAAAAGCACAGGGGCAGATCATCTAACCTCTAAGGAAAAGATAACATCATCATAAAATTTTTGGAGCAGACCTAAACACCATGTAGCCCATGTGAGTAGTCAAGGCCTCCAGGAAGACAGGAACAAGGGAGGACTTCAGACATAAAATGCAAAGGTAGAATTTAGATTTTATGTATGTGAGCAACTTCAAGGATTTTTGATAGGTGAAAAGTAAGCATAAGTAAATGTATATTAAAAAGGGGGGGCAGGATATTATTAATTTCAAGAACAAATTAGGATCAGAAAAAGGAAAAAGTCATCAGAGTTCAACACTCAGTTTTCTGTCAGTGATATCACATGATTACAATAATTGGAATCTGAATATTAACACAATCAGTGTGTCTACAATTAGCATATTAGAAAGAAAAACCCCAGGAAACAAATTAGAAGATGGGGATGAGACACCAGTGGGCTAGATCATAATGATAAATGCAGAATGGTACACATGGAAGATACTGAAATAATTCTAGGAGCCAGATATAAAACTTAGCTCAAGAAATGATCAAGGATGCAGAATGCGTCCACATGTGTATCCCGGGGCAGGTAGGACACAACGTTCCTGTATGCCCTCATAAATATTGCAAGACAAAATGTATTAGAAATCTTAGACATGAAACATGCTTTCTCTCTTATTGACATGCACTGTAAACTCATTTGGAAACAATTCAAGTTACTAAAAAACAAAACAAAACAACACTTGGAAAGCAGGCATTCCACATCTATCCATGGTAGAAAATTTCACTGGGCAGGTTTGGAAAGGTGGCTCAGCTGACTAATTCTCCACCTGCAAGTGCCAGCAGCCCATATGGGCACCGGTTCATGTCCCAGCTCCTTTACTTCTGATCTAGGGTGCCACCAATTTTAGACTCATTTTAGCATAGGATAGCAACTCCCAGGTTTGAAAATGCCTACTTTCTTAGGATGTTAGTTCACAATCAAAAAATACTGTATTAGGAAAGCATAAAATAAATAATTCATGCAAAATGGTGCCATTATTTTGTTAAAATTAGTTTAAACTTATAATGTCTTCTTAAAAAGGATTGATTATTAAAATATAATTTGAATTTTCAAATGGAAAATGTATAGGCCCAAGTCCACTTAGTGATGGATCAAGATGCTTGAAAAATACAGAATAAGCTTTTTTTTCATCAAAATGTCTCCTAATGTAAATGGTTATAGTATTGTTGAGAAAAATTTAAAAATTGAGTGAGGGAACACTTTATTCCTTCATTGACTTTTCATATCATTCAGCAATGAAATGTTTTTCTTTAAAATTTAATATCATCTGTCACTTTTTCTGTGTGTTATACTTCCTATGATAAAGACTGACGTTGCTACACTCATTTATCCAACTTCCTCTTTGGGTCAATATTAAGACACTGGTTGTAGTCTATGTCCCATACTGAACACCTGGATTCAATCTCAGCTCTCCTTCTGATACCAGCTTCCTGCTAAGAAACAACGTAGCCAACAGTAACAGCTCAGGTCCTTAGGTGCCTGTCACCCAAATCAGAGGTCTGGATGAAACACTCTCTTCATAGTTTGGTTTTAGCAAATCCCTGTCTTGTTATTTGTCTAGCTATCTTTCTGTCTGCCCCCTCAAATGTTATATATATAAATACAATTTAAAATTGTCTTGCAATAACTACAAAGCAGTTACAGTAGGTAGATTTTTTTTTTTTAAATGTCATTATAGCAGGACTAGCATAGTAGCCTAGCGGCTAAAGTCCTTGCCTTGCACGCACCAAAATCCCATATGGGCACCGGTTCTAATTCTGGCAGCCCTGCTTTGCCTCCAGCTCCCAGCTTGTAGCCTAGGAAGGCAATCAAGGACAGTCCAAAGCCTTGGGACCCTGCACCCGAGTGGGAGACCCGGAGGAGGCTTCTGGCTCCTAGCTTCAGATTGGCTCTGGCCATTGTGGCCACTTGTGGAGTGAAGATCTTCCTCTCTGTCTCTCTTCTCTCTATATCTGACTTTCCAATAAATATAAAAAAGCTTTTTTAAAAAAAATATAATTATAACTACATGAAAACAATGTTCAGATGATGAAAGATGAAATATAATTGGTTTTAGGAACATTAGGTCATCAAATGCCCAACAATAAAAAATTAAGACATTTGTTAGAAAATATTTGGAGTATATGAGACCATTAAACTGAAACTGAAACAATTTTATCATAAATATAACATTCCATATTCTTGGTACTCTAAGAATAATCAGCATGCAGTAATGGTGTCTCATGTAATGGTTATTTTATCTTTTCTTTGGACCATCTCCTCTATTTTTTGTGGTTTTTGAATATTGCCTGCTATGAAAAATTGAATTTTACTTCTTTTTTTCCACCTTATTATAGCACTTATGACCCCTCAGGTCAGTTCTGACTAGTTTTAGCACCAGACAAATGTTTCTAAATTTTTTCAATCAATTCTTCCAGAGGAACTGCCTCTAGACAAATTCAATCTCTGGTTGATAGCTATTTTCAAAATAATTTATAAGTTCTCCCATAATCCCTGACAAGTTTAAGGATGTCCTACAGTTCTCATGTCTTTAGGGAAAGTAAGGCAAATGTTTCCTAACAGAGTCACATCACTACATCTCTGGTAATTATAATGGCATGGATAATGACATTAAATCCTTTTCATTTCCTTTAGAAGACAGTCTACACTGCAATAATATAGGCTCTCTCTCTCTCTTTCCATTTCTCTTTCTCTCTCCCTCTTGCTTTTTTTTTTAAATGAATTCCAAGGTAAGCAGTTTTTACAGAAAAATACCAAAGTGTTTTTCTTTAAATAGAAGAGTTGTACGTGTGGGCTTTCAATGGCAATGTTCAGCGACCACTAATTTCATATCTCACCAGGCAAAGCTGTACTTTATTCATTACAGAGTGGAGCCCACTTGGAGATTCTGTTGGATGACAGCATGGAATCTAGGAGCAAACTGATACTTGCCTGAGCGCTGCAGGATAGACATTTACATGCACACTTTGCATAGTTTTATTTTCACTAGTCAATTCCTTTAATGAATTATGGGATTTCTCCTAGTTTGGTCATGCAGCACTTCAAGCTGGTTTGTATCCACAGGGAGAATTACCAGAGATTATGTGGTACTCAGGATGATTGAAGAGAAAGGCCTGCACTTTAGTACATATTCATAAAGCAAAACACTCACTCTCAAAATGTAATGGAAATCATAACACAGCTCTTTCTATCCTAGCATTCCCCTTGCACAGTGGCATAGTCATTCCCAAAGAGCAGCAGATTTCTTTAGAAATTTGTAAATCATTGGATGCTAAACTTGGGTGGAAGAGATCTTATCATATCATGTGCTGAACCAGAGGATTAACGAATGAGCAAAGATATTTAAGAACCACAATAATGTCTAACTCTACCACTTACTAATTCTGTTGCTTTAACTAATTGCACTCTGATTTCCATACAATTTCCCATAAAATTAGAATACCAGTACTACGTACCTTGTAATAAACTAAATAATCATGAACATTAAATGAATAAACGCCAGGAAATCGCTTAGTACAAAAAACAGCAGGAAAACCCACAATAATCTCTGTTCCTAAAAAAATACAATTCTTGTGTGTCTGTGTGCTTGTGTGTAAGTAAGGGGAAGGAAGACACATACATGTACAAAAACATATAACAGATAAATAGTCCTTGCATCTGCAATTAAACCTCCAAAGACTGCAGTCTGAAAATTTAAGAAGTGAAAAGTAACTATTTCTGCACTGTATTTTTTACTATTGAATATCTGATGCTGTATCTTGCAGGTAACAGCAACTTGCACTATTCCAAAAGCAGTGATACATTTCAGAGGGAAGCAATATCTCAACAGAATTTGAAAAAATAATAATAAATTTGATATATATTTTTCTGAAAGTCAATACCCTACACATTTCTGGTACAAGAAAGTGAATTGTATCAGAAAATGTTTTGCCTTCACAATTGAATTGCTTCATTAGAAAGAAAAGAAATTCTGAGTTCTCATTGCCTATTATAAGAAATGAGGAATTGTCTACATATTTTCTTAGAAGACTTAGTATGTAAAAAGAGTTAAAATCAAAAGAAGAGCTGGCTAAACAGAAACTTGTAACTTAAAGGGGAGTATTACCAAAGACAGTCAGCTCCGCTGGATCACTGTCCCTTTCGCCCACCATATTGGTACCAACACAGGTATACATTCCCGCATCGCTTTTCCTGGTGTTGGAGATCATCAGCTTGCCACCACGTATCTGTTAGATGAAGCAAAAAGAAAAAAGGAGAAGAGAGATAATCAGACATGGAAATGAAAGGTCACTAGTAAATGACTTTGAATATACAGCATACATTTTTTTTTCCAAAGAAAACAACTGAGTATCCAAGACACAAAACTTTCCCACTGACTGGCATGCCACTGTTCTAAAATTCACCATGAACATAAGTCTCCAGACTCTGCTGTTGGAGGACTCTCCCTGACAGAAGTCTTCCTTACTCTCTCCTGGTTTGAATCTTGTTACTCTTCCCACTAAATCCCAAGAATTTTTCCTCACATTGAGATTGCACTGAAGCAATGGTTATTATCATTTGTCTTCAGAAGGAAACAACGGATACCTATTTTGGATAATATAATGAAACCCTGATGATTTAGAGAGATTCAGCTAGTTTACAAATTTGCAAATTGTTGTATAAGCTGGAATCTGGTATGCAGGAATAATCCTAACAGTATTTACCTCCTGTGGATCATACATTTTACTTGTGATTATGATTGTTTTATTTGTATTGAAGTGACAAATTTTGCTAAGGAGAGCTGGATGGGTAAAAAATAAATAATGAGTATGAGATATTACAAATCTTTTGTGCCTAAAAAAAGGCTCCAGCAGGAAGCACTCACCGACACAGTAATTTGATGAGATAAAATTAAACTGTTCATTTACTAAAGATCACATATGAGTTAGACTTGGAATAAGCATGTCTTCATTCATACTTTGCTTTCCAGCATTTTTTCTCTTGGTTTAATTCATCAATCTGTATACAGACTTAGTGTTCTTAAAGAGATGTAAGAAATTCTGGTTGTTTCACTTTTTAAATTAAATTTATTTCATTTTTCTTGATACAGTTCCATAAGCTCTGAATTTCCCTTCCTTCTTCCCTGCTACCTACATTTCCATCACTCCCCCCACTGATTTCCTCTATATTATTAAAATAATAGAGTCCTTCATACTCAGTTATGAAGCCATCATTCTGCTATTTAAGTGTATCCTGACATTGTAGATATAGGCAATGGTAGAGAGTCCAGCATCCTATCATCAAGATATATTTAACAGTTTCATTGAGAGTCCATCTTTGATTTGAAAGTAGAGATGCATACTACATTGTATGTTCATCTGGATCTGGCTGTCTATTTATTTATTTTGCTGCAGGTAGAAGGCTGAGGCAATAGGAGTGAGAAAATTCAACAGGAGGGGATGGAGAGCTTGGATATCCAACTGTTACAAGTTAACACAAAACTCTCAAACATATGCATGCTTTTAAACATGTGTCAGAGAGCTTTATGTTAGTGGTTGAGGGGACACAGGTAGAGACTGATTGCATTACTGGACTTCAGAGATGGTCTAGTGGATAGGAGGATATCACTCAGGGAAAGCCCACAGAGAATTGTTCATGTTAGGGTGTAGACTATTACTGGAATTTAACTTCTGTCTAGCCACAGATTCTCTCTGCACCACTCTGAGGCTGCTCCTCTACATCCACCATGACTAGCATGCATCAGACACTGCGTTATGGGGCTGCTTGATGCTGAACTATAACCTCCAAAGGTGTGCTGAAATAAGACTTTCATTTCCCGAGAATATCCTTTGGGGTGTTAGAGTAATGAGGGCAGACTAATCACTGAGCTCAGCCAGAACTGTGAGGGTCTAGGATCATGTGACTCAAAATACAATTTTACACAGGCCATTGGAGAACGGAAAGCCTCACACACCAACCATGATGGTTGAGAGCAGAACCATCAGCTTCCCTCATTATTATACACTAAAGAAGACAGTGGCTGTAGTTCAAAAGATCTTAGACTGGCCCAAGAAAACGTAAATGACATAGAGATGAACTAAAGATCCTTGAACGCTAATCATTCAGGTTACTTTAGATAATTGAAAAGGTAGTATATATAGATCTTCAGAGTGTGAGCCAAGCCAGAAATAGGAAAAAAATGTTTTGGGTCTCTTGTGCAGCCTGTCTGGTTTGTATTATGTTGCAATCATAAGGTGCACATAAGGAAAATCCTTATTATAATAAATGCATTTCAAAACATAATGCCACCCAGAGTATATGAATGTTTCATTAAAATGGTATATTTATTCAGCTAAATGGGATCTTTTAAACAAAGCGCATTCAATCTTATTTATTATATTTAATATAAAATACACCACTAAATAACAGTGGGAGGTATCAGATTCCATTTCACTGAACTGGTTCGCACAAACTTCATAAACCAATAATGGGAAGATCAAAAAAACCAAAATGCCATTCCTCTGCTCTACCAATTTACCAGGCTCTGTGTTTTATTTTGAGTCACAATGAACCTGGTCATCAATTTCCTTTGAAAATGAAATATTTTTCTATATGAGCAAAACTGCAGAATCAGCCAGTCATTTAAATTTTATTGTAGAGCTATTAAATTTACTTTCCAATTAATTCAGAGATAAAATTGTGCTGCCAGAGTATTATTTAGTTGGAAAATCTAGAAGAAGTATTTGAAATGCTCATCTTAAATTATTTCCTCCCATAGCTTTGAAATAGAACAAAATGAGATGTTTTAATAAAGATGGCTTATGGTCATCATTTGTACTTTCACACTTGAAGCCTTCATAATCAATACAAATCTTTGCAGTTCTTGAAGAAAACTAAAGTACAACCAAGATACACCTACATATTCATATCGGGAAATCAACATACCCTACACCCTGATTTATAAATATTTCAATTTTGAGAATTTATTCCAAAGTTCATGCTTCTAAGCTTTTTCATTACAGTGTACATTGTCACTAGTAGTTATAAAATTAATGAATCAAAGAATAAAAATTCCATGTAGGCATGAAATTCAAACTTTCTAGGCCATTACTTCAATTTAACTCACACTTATTCTCTCTTCTTTATCATCGATCCGAATTTTGTCTTTTTTCCAGTAGATGGTAGGCTCTGGATGACCCCGAGGAGGCTGGCACTCCAGGATTGCAGGCTCCCCTGCGGCCACCACAACATCTGTGGGGTTTTGCCGGAAGTCATCTCGCAATACTGAAAAGAAATATCATCATTGTAGTACATGACATCTCCATTTCAGTCACTTCAACTATGTGTTGCAAAATAAAAATTTTAATACACCTTACAGTATATTAAAAATTGCCTGGATGCTGTTTGAGAAGACAGCCACACCCATAAAATGCTCAAGAAGCTTTCTATATTCTCTTAGTGGGGATCTTCCTGACTATATGGTCATGTACCCTAAAGTCCAGTTAAAATATGTTAGTCTGCGCAAAATATCATAAGAAATATTTATGACTCAGACTCTAATTTTACAAAAAGAAAAGCAAGGTACATAGTTATTTGCATATTACTCTTTTTTCCAAAATTATGAGCATATCATAAGATGTTCACCAAGACTAGAATTAAAAGATAAGTGTATTTGGGTACAAAATCTTTTGAAATGCATGTACATTTTTTTCATGAACTTTTTAATGATCCTTCACCTGCATGGCTTCAAATTTTCTTTGCACCAAGATAAACATACTTTAATTCCATGTCCATGAAATTTTTGAAGTACTTAGTATGTAAGTATATTAAAAAATTATTGAAATATGGAGTAAGAGCTCATGTAGACATGTACATGGCTTGGAGATTATTTGTGCATGTCAGTCTATGAGGGGGAATGGGACAAAGACTCACTGAGAAAGGCCTTTCTGACATGAATGTGAACACAGACAAGGCCCACGCAGTACTGATTACACTGCAGAAGATGCACTCGTTTTTACCATTCCAGTGCACTTACACCCACATCCACAGAGCAATGTTTTCATTGTCTCACCATCTCCACCTGCCAAGTGACATCTGGGCAGCGTGACTTTCAGAGAACCACTTTCCCTGATAGCAATTTTTTCCACTCTCACTCTCCTTTCCTTTCATTAAGGAGAACAGCAGGTTGGACCTCCACCATAACCTCCAAAAATCTGGCATGCCTAGCTCTCCAAATGTCACCTATCCATCACTAAGTGCTCTTCTGCTGTTGACAAGATGAAAAGTCTAGGGGACTGACTTGGCCCCCTCACACTGCAAATGCTGGATACACGACATATGCGACTATATCTATAAGAGAGCCAGTCTATATGCTTCAGATCAGCTAATACTCCCCGTGCCTTCACTATCTGCACTTTTCCCACTGCCATCACTTTACTTATTCTTGGACACCTCAACAGAGACATTTGGGGCCAAAGTAGATAAGAACATAAGTTGTGCTTAAGCACACACACACACACACACACACACACACACACACACACACACTCTCTCTCTCTCTCTCTGCAAAAATCTAGTGGACTGTGTAATTAAAAGAAATGTTTAGGAGCAGATATTTAGCCTAGTGTGTCAGATGCTCATGTCTAGGGAATTCCTGAGCTCAGTTCTCAGCTTTGGCTGTTGATTCTGACTTCCTAGGACTATAGACCAGGGGAAACAACGGAGACACTTTAAGTAATTTTGGTCCTGCCACCCGCATGAGATTTCTGCATTAAATTCCTGGCTCCCAGCTTTGGCCCTGGTCCAGGCTAGCCAAAGAAGGCATTTGGGGAGTGAATTCAGTGCTATTTCTGTTTCTCTGCTTCACAGATAATAATAATAATAATAATAATAATAATAAAAGCAGCTGATTTTGATGCAAAAAATGCTGAAATCTCCATTTGGATTTTGCATAATTTGCATTTCCATGAACTTTTTGAAGTGTGTGTGTGTGTGTGTGTTGAGAGAAGCTGTCTGAAATCAACTACACTAGCCTCTGAAGTAAATCATGTGCTGCAAATGGGGATTAGGTCAAGCCAACTACTTTTGCTATCCTGTAATGAGCCCTACTGCAACTCTTCGCTTCTTTGTGCTGCCACAGCCCAAGGTTAATTGTCATTCTCCTAATAAACAACAAGAAAAAAAATCCTTTTCCTGAAAATAGTTCCAGAGAGACAACTGCACAACGCTTAGGGCTTTTCTTTCTTTGTGCCTTGCAACACATCCTTTATAACACGGCTTTCCATCTTAATGAAGTCATGGCCCTTTGCGAGATTAGAGAACTTGTCTCCAATTGAAAGAGCAGTGAGAAAGAATTCAGCACAAATTGCTCACTCTTGGCTTATAAGCTGATTAATTTAGTGCTTTCCCTGCGAAGGAAATGTGCTTCATTTTAGCACTGTGAACTGTACGTTTTTGTCCCCTTGTCTAACTGGCAAGAAAGGTGTGATTTATATGAATAAAAATTTGCTTCTGAAGCCTGTACGGGAACTTTGCATTTAAATGTGACATTCTTACAAGGGGTTAACCCTGTGGTTCCCACTTGCAGGTAAATCCTCCAGGGAGAGCAAGCTGGTAACTTATTTCTATTCTAAATACAGAACAGCTGCCTATTTATGCAATGTTGAGAAGTGTAAAAATATGGTAACAGGGTGATGGGCACCCCCACAATATCCGGTAGTGGCAATGAATGGTGTTTTGGCAGGCACTCAATCTGTTCCAAAACGGCACATCTGGCCAGTTGAAAGGCCTTCTCCAAAACTGGTCTCCAAACAAATGACAAGGCAATAAGCTTCAGCTCAAATGGCCGTTAAAGACCATCGCTAATCACCCAGAAATGCAGTGTTAGACCAATTTACAACGATTCAAATTTTATAAAAAGGCCCTTTGACATGGAGGACAAAGAAAAAAAGAAAAATATCAAAACAAACTATAAGGACTGCTACTCTTGAACAGTATAACATGTGTTTATGGCATTCACACAAAAAAAGAAAATGACTCCAATTTGCAAATGAAGCCAAGAAATCTAACATCAACTGTAATTTTAGGCTTTCAGACTATTCACTTGGAGAGTGGGGTGAGATAATGGTATAATTGGTACTGTACCCTCTTCAACTTGTAATATGCTCTTTGCGGTTTATGTAGTACTCAGTTAATTTATCTGTGGTTAGTGTTAGCATTTCTGTTACCTTTTTTTGGTTTTCAGAATAATAAAATAGGCTCCCTCGCTCTCTCTCTCTCTCTCACTTTATGGAGAAAGCCATTCTTTTCAGCAGGTTTTAACGTAGTGTTAGGAAAGTTCAGTATATGGAATCTTTGAACTTGAGGGCCAGGTTCTCTGGCATTCTCAATCCCCTCATCTCTTTCCCCTTTTTCCTCCCGCTGTGGTTTGAATATTAATTGAGTATGTTCCCAAGGGTTCAGGCATTGCAAGATTGGCTTTCAGTGTGGTGATGTTAAGAAGTGGTGAAGCCTCCAGGAGGTGACATGGCACCTAACGGGAGATCATTCCATCACTGAGGGCACAGCACTTGAAAAGGGATGAAGTACTTTTCATGGAACTCTAGCTGATTCTCCAGAGAAAAGTTATTTCAAAGGAGCTTGACAGATCTCCCGGCAGCCTCCTGTGTCATCATGTGACATCTTGCTCTTGCACCACTCCTGTTGCGATGTCCTTATTTTAAAGTATTCCCTGTAGTCCCCCTAAAGCTGAATTCAGGCTGCTTGTGTGTGAAGAGTCAGAGAGGATAGTAGACAAGCTCGGGTTTTCTGGTCCCCAAGTTTTTTTTTTAATATAAAAATTGCATTCTCTCCTGTATGTTTCAATAAAGCAGCCTAAAATCTCTGGGCCACGGTCAAGGAGATGGAGTATGAATGACCAGTTTATCATTAGAGAGGGACTGCGGCAGTTAGCCTGCTACACCTTTCTGAGGTCTTTGTCTCAGAGCAACGTGCTATGGAAGACATCACCTCTCCTTTCTCTTTGGAGACACTGCCTTGACGTGAGGTTTTAAAAGGTACAACCACCCCCTACACAAGAGTCTTTCCTCCTTTGGAGCTCCCTCCCACCGTTAGGGTGGGAGTCACTTTCCTTCTTTTGAAAGAAGTCTAGCTTTAAATTAGAGTTTTTCGGCATGAGAGTTCTTTCCTGTGATGCAAAGATTGAGGTTGCTGCCATAGTTTTGCCTCCAGCGTCCTATAACTTGTGAGACTTTCAACATCCAAAACGCTGAACACACTGTGCCTCATTCTCTCTAAACACAACACACACACACACACACACACACACACACACACACACACACACACACACATGCACACGCAAGTCATACAGCCTGAAGTCAGCCACAGGGAGTTTATGACAGAGGATATACAACACATTGCCCAGCCTTGGACATTTTATTATAGCAATGGAACATTGACTAATATTTCTCCAGCCAATTAGGGGATTTTTCTTAAGTTCCTGTCTAAGGGATGAATCCTAGTGAAAATTAGCTCAAATAAGACTAAGTTTGAAGCCACAGCTAGAGCCCAGATGAAATTTTACCACTCTGGTTTTGCCTTTCCATAAGGTAGATTCATCTGTCCTAAACACACACACACACACACACACACGCTATCCTTTCTCTAAAACTGCCTGCAGGCCCCAGTTTCCATGCTCTTGAATAGCATACTTAAGCTTGAACCATCTATCTGGCTGTTGTTTGGTTTTCTTGAGACCACAGATTATACCACCCTCCAATATATTTATTTTGGCAAATTGCCAGAGAGCGAGCTATTTCCAGAAAACTGAAGACAGAGATAATTCCTGAAAGGCTACTCTTATACAAATAAAATTCGCATCAATCTACATTAGCACAGGAAAAATTCAGTGTCACAGGAAGAAAGAGATTAGAGGACACACCTGGCCCACAGAAGGGCTCTCCAAGGCTTCTAGGAATTCTGTGGGTTAGTGCTTGAGAGATTTTAGATGCAAACCCAGACAGCAATTTTGAATTCCCCATTCAGTCTTTCACAGGTGGCCTCCTTTTCCCAGAAGCCCAAGCTCCTCGCCTTTGTTTGGCTTTGTGTAAGCTTTACATCTTCAGTCCATCTTGCATTTGCATACCTGGGATTTGGCTGCTGTGTTTCCACATGCTACCAGTTTTGTTATTTTTCCAATGTTAAACTTAAGTCACTTTATTTGATAGACACAGCTCACTTTAGGGGGAAACGAGTACATTTAAAAATCCACTGCAGTTTCATGC